GGGGGGTACTTAAAGGATAACTGTATAAAATATAGTTATCCTTTAAACAATGAAAGTGTCAGTGGATGTTGTTGTAACAGAGTCCTGTGGTTAATTTCACATGTCTGACACATTGCCTGATCTTGCAATCTTCTCCAAGACAGTTTAGATAGATCTGCATCATTTACTGTATGTTTCACTAGTGTTGTGACTGATTGGGACCTTCTTATAGGGAATCTGTGAAGACAAAAATACAGGAGCTGCAGATGCATGATTCACATCTGTCATCCTCATCCTGGCTTCACTACCTGCTTAGTCACTGTGATAGAACAAGAATTCAGCAATTGGTTTCTGAAGAGTCGAAACTGAGCAGCCCTGCATGCTTTTTCCAAGCCAGTGACTCACTAAATAATGCACCATGTAAAAAGAAACCTTGTAATGTGCAAATATCTAGGCCGCTTTTGCTTGAATTGATAGTTGCCTGGCTGGGAAGCCTACTTACACTGACTTTCCTAGCTGCATGCTTGCTCCCAGTCAGTTTCTTAAAAAGTAAAGGGAGGCAGTGATATTACCATCTGAGTGCTACCTTTAGTAGCTAATCTACTGAGGGCTATATTTGATCCAATAACAAAAATCTGGATGTACAAGCATAACAAAATGAAAAAGTCACATCAAAATAATTTTAAAGTATTAACATATTCTTGACAGGCTTTGAAAGAGCTTTAAAACAAGCCTTCACTGACCTCTGCAACTGCAGGTACTGTAGAGAAATGCATCTTCCAAGGCCACAACAGAGACTCAGTCTGGTTTTGGGCCCATTTGCACCAGTCTGGTTCAGTGCACTTATCACGTGTGCATTAAGGCAGCCTATCCATTTGAATAGGTAGGTTAATTGTGGGGCTCTTGCTAATAAATGGCACCACATTTCACCAAGACGCATGATGTGGATGGGTCCTTTTAACAGTTTGCAGCACCTACTGCTTGCTTACATTACAGAGCTGGCAAGCTAGCAAGACCCAGCTGCCAGAGAAATTAAGGGGAGAGGAGCTGTGTTTTCAGTGCCTTTTGTTGTGATCTCGGAGGATGAATTTCCCCACAATACCTACGGCTACAGCTAGTAAGTGTTGGTTTAAAACTTGTTAAGAATATGTAAATACTATAATGTCTATAGCATGGGCACAGGTAAACTTTAAGAACCTCAGGCAGATATAAAGATACACTTACAGTAGTTATGAATTCATTAAAACATCAAGCTTAACATTTTAAATGCACCTAGCTTTATCAGCCTTCTGTAACCCTAACCCGAAACAGCAGCATTTTTGCTGCCAGAGGGAGAGGCAGCACTAGAATCTGGTGTGCTACATGAACATGTGCTGAGATGAACACGCTGATAGAAGGACAGAGAGCAGGGGATCACTCATCAGTATTGTACTGCTCTTTCATCATCCAATTACAGCCTGATGGCAGGGAGGTGACCAAGCTTTATTAACTCCAGTAGAGACAAGCCAGGTCACCAACCTGGCTCTGCTGTCTGGCAGGGCTTTGCGATTCTGTGGACTAAAGAAATGAGGTTCCTGTGGTAGGTAAATACATGTATTTCAAATATTCATTTAGCTCTTTGCCTGGAGTCCAGCCTGTGTGACAACCATTGCTCCATCCATAGATGCAATGGAGAAATGAAAATAAACAAGGGCAGGAACTGTGTTATTTTACAGGATCACAAGCTAAAAACTAAAAAGAAATTCAATGCAGCCACCACATCTAAGGATTGGTAAGCTGCAATATATTTTTGTACAGTATTAGGGTTTAGATACACTGTAACATACAAAGCTGTTAGAGGCATGGATGGCACTGTTGCTGGAAATGATCACACTGTGCTTGATGACATCTCTAGATAAATTCACTTTATCTTCCAGGAAATAAGACATCATTGTGTTTGCTTTTAGAATACATCCTTTCAGCCTACATTTGCTCTTAAAAGGTCAGCCCTGTTTTGTACTTTGATGGAAACACATGTGATTGTAATGTCTTCCTTATATTGTAAAGTGCTGCGCAAACTGTTGGCGCTATAGAAATCCTGTATAATAATAATAATACTTTTAGGTTGATCTCTGTTGCCTTGAACTGGGATGGTTTATGTTATTTGGAGACATAATGAATAATAAGAGAGCAGCATAAAGACCTAGGTAGGCGTATCTCAATCATTTGAGGATAGCAATGGCTTATTTGATAACATGTTCATACTTGAGGATGCTGAAAATAAATATGTTGGTATACGCAATGTGCTAGGAGTGTTAGAAAATAAACAGTGCATATGCAAACGTTAGCACTTTAATTATACATTGTGGGAAGCCTGTCATACATTAAGTAACAACAATAGTAGACTGAACAGAGTTTCGCAGAGCCAGAATTTCCACCTCAGAAATCCCTCAATTTTCATGTATGCAAAGATAAATTATTTTGTGTCCTTTTTACAAAGGAGGGGTAGGGGAGAGGGGAGAGGGCTCAGTGGCAGTGGCTAGGCTATAGCACTCTATAGTACTTGTTGCTGTTGAGTTAAGATGTTAGGTAAAATACATTTGTAACCAATGAACCATCACATTCTCAAACAATTCATCCCAACACAGCTACCTCCTCATGCATCACTTGCCCCTCCCTTTTAGATTGTAAGCCCTCAGGGGCAGGGCCCTCCCTACCATCTTGTCTTGAATTGTATTGTGATTGTAATGTCTTCCTTATACTGTAGAGCGCTGCACAAACTGTTGGCGCTATATAAATCCTGTATAATAATAATGTTTTTTAGATAAAAAATAAAGCCAACATTGAGGATTCCATGTTGGTTTCGAGTGTCAGGAGTATTCTTAGCTATGTGCAGCTTTCAGCCCTGAACGCAAATAAAAGTCACAATGTTCTACTATATGTCCTTCAGCCTGTCATTTCTCCAGTTGCTATAGGCGGAGATGATGAAGCTGGATCTGTGCTTCATCAGCTTCTTTGGGATCTATAGGTGACATCAGTGGTTTTGATAGACCCCTGATGTCTCCATAAAGAGGTCACATCTTATTTTCTATCACATAGGGGTTTTGTTAGTCTCCAATGTAAAAGCAATAAAGTTAGGTGTGAGCTTTGTTTAGCAGTTAGCAGTCACTCTGAATAAAAAAAGCGAAATACTGTATTTAAAGTGACATTAAAGTCAAAATCTTTTTCCCCTCCCCCCAATGTCAATGTCAGCACTTAACTTAAATGATGTCTCTTAATCCGATCTTCTTCTTCTTTCCTGTCCTTTTCAGCCTTCTCTCCAGCGCTGCTGCGGCTCTCCGATCCAGCGCTGACTCCTCTGTCCATGCTGATACTTCCGATCCCATGGTGTCTGCATGCGGGTGCACGCGTCCATAGACTTACCTTGTGTCTCGCTTCGTCTCCCGGCCGAAAATCCGAACTGCGCATTGCGTCCGCCCCAAGATGCTTTTTCAGATTTTCAGACTTGTAAAGCGTTTTTTGTTTTGTTTTACTTTTTGCATATATCTACTGCTTGCTGGCAGTAGATATATGCTAAAAAAACAGAGGGTTTAGAAACCTTTTAATGTTGACTACCGGAATATTGCCCTTTTTATATTTTCATGTGGTGTGGTTATGTTTGAAAGTAGTCTATCTTTATTAATGAATATCACTGTTGTGTTGCATTGCACCTGCCATTCAGCCATAGCTGACAGTCATACGTGCTGTAGGCAAGGCTCACACTCCTCTACTGATTTTCATATATTAGGCAATGCGTTTTAATAGGCACATTGACTACACAGTTCTCTTTTGTTTTGCCTGACTGTAACACACCTGTGTTTATTTTAAACAGGAATCTTTTCTATCATGTTCTTATATCTTTCACTCACTCAAAATGAACAGTGTCAGCTTTCAATTAATGTTCAATGTGAGGACTCGTATAATGGCATTTAATTCTGACAAGCTTTATCATAATATTATATTACTAGTGTTATCGGGAATGCCTGGACAGGATACTGATTTCTAATAAGAATACCCGCCTAATTTCCTTACTTTTTTTTCCACCCTCGTATCTCTAGATCCTTGGTTCTCAACTGGGGGGTCATGACCCAAAAGTGGGTCGCGACCCCATGCTCAGTGTGTCACCGCATGCCTTGCACTTTTCTAGGTGAGAGGCTCCTCGGCCTCCCCCTAGTGCAGCACTGTCAGTTCTCCTGCCAAGCAGCCACTCAAAATATGCTGCCCAGCGCCGATTGTCAGTAGGTGTGTGAGATTGTGTCTCTGTATGTATGTCAGTGTTTTTGAGGGCCCGTTCAAACTAGTACAGTGCGCTAAACTGTACTATGCAATTGCACCTACCGTGCATTCATTTGAATGGTATCACAAATGCACCTCCCACCCACAGTTCGTGCGCTCGCACCGGAACGCGCAATACCCTAATGCCATGCGTTCCATTGCAGTGCGACTTGGGTCACGACTTAATGACCAAGGACAAATGTGGGTCCTGAGGTTACACAGGTTGAGAACCACTGCTCAGGATTATAAGCTCATGGAGGCATGGCTGCCTCTTTTCCTCCTCAGGACCCATTCACACCACATCCAGATCATCTCCAGACCGGGCCAGATTGTTTCAGAACCCGAAATGCATCCTAGTGTTTCCCTATGCTGTTTCTGCCCTCTGTTCACACCAGCGCAGTCCGTTCCAGACCAGTAAAATACTGCTAGTCTTATTTTGTCTGGTCTGGAATGCACTGGAACTGCGGGCAGGTTCACACCATTTTCCAGACTAGATCTGGACCAGAAAATGTTGTGAACCTGCCCTCAATCGTGTTAGTGTTCTGTATGGTTTTGCAATATATCTGTATTAATTCGCCACCGGAAATGTCTTAGCTGTATTACTCACCCTTGTCAGTGTAACATACAGTGCTACAGCATACACTAGCACCATATAAATCTATTATAATTACAAACACTCTCTTGTGCTTTTAAATATTCTATATAACATATCAAACATAACAAACTGGTGTCATAATAATAATGAAATGTATTTTATTCAGGCTATTCTGCATAAACATCTCATCGAAGATATTTGCACAATGTGCCAGATAACAATACAGACCCTTTCCTATGTTTAGCCTAGCCTAGCAGGGCTTTGCAGGCACCGATAATGCTCTCCCATCCTCTTAACAATGCAGAAGCAGCTAGCTATTTTTTCCCCGGATAGAATTCATAAATTGTTTCTTTCATACACTGGGAATACATTTGTGTAAAGAAACTGTAATTACATTCCTATCCTTTCATAGCTTATGCTCAGCTAGCATGTTTTCAGTGTTACCTTAGCAGTCCAGAGTCTTCTGAGCTAATGAGCTGCGGTGTGATCTGCTTCCAGACACAAGTCACTTTAAACTGAACCAGAAAGGAATCCTTTTATAATCACTCAATGTTGCTCCCTGGTGGATAACTTGTACACTGGTTTAAACGTATTTCCACTTTTGCAGCCAAATCGGGATAACATCTATTTTATATTTGTTACATCTTCCCGTTCACATAGCATGACTTTAAAACATATTGAACAATTGCTGCTTATCTGATGAAATGTTCTTTTCTGAAAACTCAAGAACTGAAAACTCCTGCTTAGTTTTCTCTTGCTATACAATGTTTATGAAGGGGCAGGGGAGCTGTGTTTGTCATAATTAACCCTGTCTGTACTGTGCTGGTAGATTTTATCGGTTGTAAACTAGGAGTGCCTGTCCTAACAAAGGGTAAAAGATCTTAAAGAAGAACTCCAGAAAAAAACTTTTTTAACCCTTGCAGTGGGGCTACCCTCCCACTGCAGGGGTTAACTGCTCGTTTTTGTCTAGGTGCTAAAAATAAAAGTTATACTCACCTTCACCGTTGAGCCGGCTGGCTGCTTCTCCTGTCTCTGAAGCCTCTCTCCTGCTATGCTGCAGCATTGGAATGTTCCTCAGCGTCCTCACGTCTATACACTGTGTGAAGAACGTGATGATTTATGGGACCTTAAACCACAGTAGAGAAGAGAGATAGGCTGGATGGATCTGTCTAAGAACAAGGTGAGTATAACTTTCTATTTAGCAGTTAACCCTTGTAGTGTGGGTGTAGCCCCACTGTTAATCCTTGTTCACACCAAGCGCGTTCCAGGTGCAGATCAGAGCAGTTACAGAACGGATCAAAACTGCATCCAATGTATTCCAATGGTATTTTGGGCTCTAGTTCACACCGCAGCGTTCAGTTCCAGAGCATGTAACAAAACTGCAACAAGCCCTATTTTACCTGCTCTGGAACAATCTGGAATGCATGCAAACGCATAAAAAATGCATACAAACGCACTGAAAGCCCATTTTAAACAAACACGGCCCGGAACGCGGCAAAAAACGCGGTATAACACACTGCCCTGTGTGTGCAGAAACTCATGCAGATCTGGTCTGCATTTGGCGTGAACAAGCCCTAAGCAGTGTTTTTGACGCGTTTTTTGACGCGTTTTTGACACCTTCAGGAACGTTTTTGCAAAAAAAAAATAATATTTTTTGTTGTTTAAAATGAGCTTTCAGTGCGTTCCAGGGCATTTGCATGCATTTTTTATGCGTTTGCATGTGTTCCAGAGCGTTTCAATTAGTTTTTTCTGAGATATTATAATATATAAATATATAATATAATATTTAAATAAATATGTCAACACCAGAAATAATGCATATTGTCTTAAATTAAAGGTATGCATAGTTAGCTTGTGCTTTTATAGGTTAGGTATGCCATGCTTCATTTTAGTTGGCTGCTCTATTTTCTGCCGTTTTGCTCTTTTTGTTTTATGTAGGTCCCTATGAACTCAGAATCAATGAGCAATTGCTTAAAATAGCTGTAGATTGAAAGTCATGTGTTTGTTCTATGCACAGCAGTTATGCAGCCTATTCACTGCAGTTAAAATGTCATGCTTATTTGTTTCTTCTGCTCAGATCGGTAACAGTTCAGGATTTCTTGGCTCAATAGAGTGCATGAAGAATACCTCTTTCTCATTTGAATGTTCCTCTGGATTATCATCAGATTTTCTTGTATCAACTGCTCTGGAAATGTGGACTATGGGGTCTATTCACAAAGCTGCCGAGGGCAGCCGAGTGAATGACCGATCAGAAGTGAAGTGAGCCGAACACTGTTCGGCTATTCACTTCAGGCTGGTACAGCTGATTTCAGCCGTACATCGGCTGAAATCAGCCGTACATCGGCTTGCTTTGTGTGGCTTCGGATCAGCCGAACATGCTCAGCATGTTCGGCTGACCCGAAGTGCAGAAGGAGTTCGACTCAGCCGATCCAACATCTGGATCGGCTGAGCCGAACCTCCGGCAGGCTTCACACTGCTGTTCGGGCTATTCTGAAAGATCCCGAACAGCAGTGAGAGAATAGCCGAATGCCGCCGAGCGGCATTTGGCTCGGCTGTTCTGCTCGGTCCCTCAGAGGCACCGAGCAGAACAGAAAAAGAGTGAAAAAAGTAGAAAAAAGTTAATAGAAAACGATTGTGCAGAGCTAGCAGTGACAGCTAGCTCCGCCCAATAGTTTCCTATTGTCCGGCGGCTCTGCTGCTGTAAAAAAATAAAAATAAAAAAAATCCCCCGGGCGCTCTGGGAGCCCCCCGCTCCCGGCCGCCAAGAAGGAAAACCCGCTGTGTCTTTTTTTTCCTTTATTCTGACACGAGCATGTCAAAAAACAAAAAAAAAAAAAAAAAGACGAATTCCCATTCAAAAGCATTGGGAGTTTACTATTGGCTATTTCAATTTGCAATAGCCAATAGTAAACTAGCATTGTACCCGCCCTCTGCTGATGGACCTGATGGGGAACTGCAAAAGAGGGCGGGTACAATGCTAGTTTACTATTGGCTATTGAAATTGAAATAGCCAATAGTAATGTCCCAATGCTTTTGAATTGGGATTTTTTTTTTTTCTCTCTATTCTGACATGTTCGCTCCGTGTCAGAATAAAGACACAGCGGGGTTTTTCTCCTTGGCGGCCGGGAGCAGGAGACTCCCGGGGCGCCAGGGAGAGTTAGATGTTTGGAGATCAGTGTCCCTGGTTAGCAACCAGGGACGCTGATCTCTCTGAAAGTGGCC